CCTTCCCTCTCCCTGTTGCCCCCTACCCCTTTCATGAACCTGGACTACAGAGTCTGGTTCTACACATTAGAATTTTGAAAAGCCAGGGAGCTTCAGGAAGAAAAGGCTGGATGAGGGAGGCAAACTTGCAGATCGGAAACTGAAACCCATGTGTAAAGCACTTACCATGTCTGCTGCCAACACTGCTTCCAGAGCAAGACAGCCCAGCCACTTGGATGCAAAATCTGGAGGACCGAGGAAGCTAGCAGGGTTTTCTCAGCAAAGACTAAGGCCCTACATGTGAGCCATTCGAGGTCCCTTGTAAGGAAAAAGAGGATCCCTTTCAACTGTTGTTCCAGGCTGGAACCAACCCACTGCAGCTGGTCCAGCCCGAGGGGAGGGCTTGTTAGCCACAGAGACTCTAGCCCGGCCCCACCCAGATCTGCTAGGTGGGTGCCTACTCATTAACCAAGTCCACAGGTGTTTCCTGGGCAAGTGTGAGTTCAGTGAGCAGCCCCTCACTAGGCCCCTCCACCCAGGCAAAGTGTCCTATACGTTTTTTGTGGCCCAGCGATTTTTTTAGTTAGTAACTAAATTATGCAAGAAAGTGTTTGTTTTCTGGTCCTGGGGCTTAAACTCAGGACCTGAGTGTTGTCCCTGAGCTTTTTTTGCTCAAGGCTAGCATTCCACCAGTTGAGCTACATACAGCTCTACTTCTGGCTTTTTGTGGTTAATGGGGATAAGAGTCTCATGGACTTTCCTGCCCAGACTGGCTTTGAACCATGATCCTTAGATCTTGGCCTCCTAAGGAGCTAGGATTACAAGCATGAAACACTTGTGCCTGGCTAAAAGGTGTTTTTTGTTTGTTTTCTAATAGGACAAATACTGAGTCTTTTCAAGATGTGAGGAAATTGCCTTCTCCAGATGTGGGCGGATTGTCTGTTTTTGAGGGTCTGCCCATGGCCAATACCAATATCTGTGATTGTTCCAGTCCTTTATATAAAATGACAAACTATTTGCCTAGGACCTGCTCACATCCTCCTGTATACTTTAATCCCTGTCTATATTACAATTTTCAATGCAGCCAAAATTCTGGGTCAATAATTGTTATACTATATAATGCAAGGAGCAGAGGTGAAATGTCCACTATATGCTAAAAAGTAAAGCTATCTTGGGCATCTCTTTAGGGCCAGGTAAAGAACCCCCAGTATTCATTGTGAGTTTAGACCAATACTTAACATCCATAAAATGACCCAGAGTGATTTAACAAAAATTTCATTTATAGTCACTATCCCAGAAAGGCAGTGTGTGGGGGGTGGGGTGGGGGGAGGGGTGCTGGGGCTTGAACTCAGGGCTTGGGAACTGTCTCTTAGCACTCTAGCACTTGAACCACACTGCCACTTCTGGCTTTTTGCTAGTTAAATGGCGATAAGAGTCTCATGGACTTTCCTGTCTGGGCTGGCTTCTAACCAGGATCCTCTGATCTCAGCCTCCTAAGTAGCTAGGATTACAGATGTGAGCCACTAGCACCCAGCTGGGCAGAACATTATAGGTATCCTGAAAGTTAAGAAAGTCCTAAAATACAAAAGCCTTGAAGAAAGTTAATCTATGTGCAACAATACTTCCTCATATTACTAGGTACAGGAGCCTGCCCCTGTATCATCACTGACTAGTATTATTTTGCTGATCAGATGAACTTTATCCTTCTTGGAGCCCCTTTCCCACCCCAACTAAGTATTCTTTTCTCCTTTCCTTTCCTTTCCTTTTCTTTCCTTTCCTTCCTTCCCTTCCCTTCCTCCCTTCCCTTCCTCCCTTCCCTTCCCTTCCTCCCTTCCTTCCTTCCTTCCTTCCTTCCTTCCTTCCTTCCTTCCTTCCTTCCTTCCTTCCTTCCTTTTGGTAGATCTGCGGGTAATAAAACACACAGTAGTCAATTTTTTTGATTTTTTGGTTTGTTTTTAAAGAAACTGCATACATCATCAGACAAACAATAATTTAAATACCATGCAGTTTCTGTATGTACAAAACCTAGGCCATAGAGATCCAGTTTAATTCATACATCATCTTCCTCACACAGCTGTCATCTGTGGAACAAGAACCTGGAAGAGCACGGACTGACGCTCACCACACGCACTCACTCCTATACAAAGACGAACTATGTACAGACACCGGAGAGCAACTGCAAAGAGCCGCCGGCTAGGGGATCACCAGACAAATGGGAAGAAAACGTTGCCGGAAGTGACCTTTGCCCACTGGCTGTGCAAGGAAGGCGTGTGTGACAGCCTGAAATTCCACACCACAATGTTCAATCAGCAAATATAAATACAGGTTCAGAAGCGGGAGAAAAATAAACTCAGAGCTTCTTATCACAATGGACCATCTCCTTGTTTGGTTTTTCTCTCATCTGACAGAAAGGCTAAAGTTTTCCATCTTTTACAGGGCTTTGAGGGCCTTTGGGGGAAAAAAGAATATGAAAGTGGAGCAGAAATTTCACAAAAGCAAATCGGCCAGAGCCTCTAGTCAAGGTTGGGGTTTGAGGTGGGGTTTGGCACAAAGTCTCATTATGAGAGGGAACTGATGTGAATTCAAATGACAGCACACTCCACTGGGCATGGAGACCCTCAAATATACTGTCCTCAGAACTGCACGCACATGTTTCAGGAAAGGGGTGTGTGTATGTGAAGCTGTCTAGCCCACCTCTTTTCCTTCCCCACTTAAGTCAAATCGTCATTTTGGGAAGTAACACAAGTTGCTTCAGTAACGATATGGGGGAAAAAAAAAGAAAGAAATATGGATAGATCATCCTAAAAGACCTTAAGGGTTTTAAAAAGAGACAGCAGAGGGCCCTGTCCTGCAGGCTGCTGAGCTGGGTAAAGCCACTTAACTTGGGTTTGTCATAGCTGATCCTGAAGGTCAATGACCTTTCAGGAGTATGGGAAGTGCACCCTTAACTCTGAGACAATGACTTCCACAAAGGGTGTCCTTGTAGCAGGAAGAAAAGTGGGGACTGTTCACTTTCTCCCATGCAGAGAAGGGACTGCTGTCTCAGGGCACTTGGAAGGGCAACCGGGCCTGTGGGCTGACTACAGGGATGTCAGTTTGGGCCTTCTGTTCCCAGGGGGAAGGCCCAAGAATCCAGGCCAGTAGAGAAACCCTGAGCCTTCCTGGGAGGAGTCAATGGAATGAGTTCCCAGGACTCACTCCTGGCTGGGGAAGGCCCGGAGGTCAGGCCAGGGCACTGTGTGCTTCCTAAAGCACAGCTGCTGGTTAGAGGAAGTGCCGACCTCAGGCCACAGCCAGGCAGGCAACTGGGCCTGCCCACAGCACATGCCTGCCTGCTTTAGAGAAGTTCAATGAAAGAGCCCTGCGGTCTTGTCCTACCGTTTGCACATTCAAATGTCAGTAAGCCTTTCCAGAAGACTGTGTTGACAGCCATGAAGACTGTGTTTATAGCCACGTTAAAATCTCAACCACATTTTCCCTGAATACCTCTCCCAACTGCAGGAATTATTCAAATTCAACATTCAAATAATAATGAAAAGATCTAGTGATAGTGGTGTCCTTGGGCTAGACAGAGTCGTGCGCTGCCTGTGGAGATATCCTGAGCTCCCCCTCACTGTATCTCTCTTACCATGGAGAAATTAATGCCTGCCAAGAGATCCATGGCCTCACGGATGGATTTTACATACTAAAAGTAACTAGGTTTCCACACAGTTGATGGTGGGGCCTTGATTCTTTTAGGGATAGCCAGGCTGGCATCTTTCTAAACCCGGGGCATGTGTGGTATAGAGAGAGCTATCACCAAGAAGGACTGTGGTGATCCTGAAGCTAGGCACACCACAGATGGTTCAGAAGAGCTCCGGTAAGGAAAATAACGCCCCTGTGGCAAGCCTCATTAGCATACTTGTTAGAGTTTGGACAACCAAACTATATATATATATATGCCCTGGTCAACAGAGCTTGCCTTCCTGGGGTCCCAGTACACAGGACTATTGGAGGCACATCTCCAGCCTCCTACCATCAGCAGAGAGAAGGATTCTCTCTGGATCGGTGGAGCATGGAGGTGCTCTGTGGGTCGGCATGGCTGGCCCATACTCAGCTCTGGACATCTCCATGGAAATGCATCAGACAGAGAAAAGAGAATTAGAAGGCCATGGAGAGGTGCTGGGGTTCCAGTCCCTCAGGGGCTGGAGAGCCAGTCTTATAGCATGGCTTCTGGTCCCCATGCCTGATCCTAAAATCAGAAGCTGTTTATTTCCAGGCCACATCATCTTAGTAGACCCTAGGGGGCATAGAGCAGCTGAAGGATACCAGCCAGAGTTTCTGACCCTGACGGGCTCCTCATGTTCATACAAGTGAACGCCATGTTTTTGATGGTGTTCATCTGTGTGGATCACCTATGGCATTAGGCTTCCTGAACGTGAGCGGGTCAATTAGTTTGAACTGATTAGCTAACAACTCTCCTTTTCTATCCCAGAGCATCTGAGCAGGCATCTCAGCTCAGGATAGGGGGCAGCCTGGAGCTTAGCACCAGCTTTCCCCATCCACTCACACATGCTCAGGACCAACAGGCTAGAACACAGACTCTCCCAGGAACAAACTGAAGAGAAAGGATAAGAGTGACCCAGAACTCCTCCCTCCTTCCTCATATCCTCTTCCTTCTCCTCAGGGATTCCCCAGGACGGGTGCCACATCTGGAGCCAGTGCGTCTGGCCAAATCTAGAAGGCCAACTTTGTACACTCACTCCCACACTAGGCCACATCTCCCACATCCTTGGACCCAGCTCATAGTCCCTGGTGAGGAAGGAATTCATGGCAGACTAAACCAACACGGTGCCTGCCGGGCCTGGATGGAGAGGGTGAGGACCACTCCACCTCTGCGAGGTCTTCAGTCTGGGCTCTGCTGGCTGCTTGGGACCCATTTCAGTACTGGAAGTAGAGCCTGCAGTTCTGATGGAGCATCGGTCACCATCACGATGTTGTCACACTTAGAATCCTGATTGTTTCCTTTTATTTTGCTGCTGCTTCTTTTTCTTCTCTTTCTCTCTCTCTCTCTCTCTCTCTCTTTTTTTTTTTTAAAAAAAGGCAGTTCAGAAGATTTACATCTTAATGGGGAAGTGAATAAATACCAGCACTTATGGTTCTTATAAATTTATGTTTTGAAGACAGCAGAGTACTCAAGAGCAATTCCACTGTTAAGGTCGGTGAAACCTAGGAAAACAAATAACTTAATCAAAGACCAAGGCATTGGATTTGGCAAGACCACTTCCCATGTTTGTGATAGTGATTGGAGGAGGTATAACCCTCCCACGTGAGACAGCTCCACACAGGAACACACCCGAGTACCAAATTCCCCTCTAGTTTTAGGACAGTTTTAATCTGGAGTTCCTAGGGGCTAAACCAGGCAGTTCTGGTGGGCTGGGTCTGTCCATGGGCCTGGTTCTAGTAGCAGGCTGGAGGAGGAGCCTGGACCATTTTCCCTACATGTTTACCAAAGGAGAGTAAGTGGAAGAATGAAGGCAATCACTTACTGGCTAACCAGCCATCTAACCTTTAATAAGCCCTTTAGTGGTCCCATGCCTTAGTTTCCTCAAATGTCATCACCCAGCACTGTCTTAGAGAATGGCAGAGAATAACAGACGTGAGCTCACTCTGGAAATTCTATGTGGCTTTGGCCTCTGTCGACTGGGTAGAAATTGGGATCCACTTTGCTTTCCACTTTTAAGTTTTCATAAAAGTTCACTTCTGGTTTATTGGTAGTATGGTGCTTTTACATTTTTCATTTGAATGAATTTAAAAAGTGAAGTTTCAGAAGGCTTCCTCATCTTACTTTGAGTAAATGTGGAAATTTATGTTGACTTTTCCTTTATCTTTCCTCCTTGATACCAGCCAAATTACTTGTGACCCACAGGAAATGCTTACTGCCATTGGATGGAAGGGAGGAACCCCAGCTAATCCCCCCTGGATACTAACCTTGTTAAGTGTCTACTCAACTCATGAACTTCCATCTCAGTGCTTTTAAATTCATTGAGCTCCTTCCGAATGGCAGCCTGGAATGAAGAGCTTGTCAGCACACAGTTTAACATATCTAATGTGGATTTTTTTCTTATTTTTACATTGAGAACTCCTTTTATTGAGAAAGGAAAACAATCACCTAGACTGTCCTCTGGAACCTCCTAAGATTCCTCTTCTTAGGGGAAATTGATGAGTACCTAATACAGCAAGTGATGCTTGTTGATGTGACTATGATTTGTTTTCCATTTCTCCCATTAGGACAAGAATAGCAAACACAGTGGCTTTAGCTTCTTCAATTCTGTGCATCCTTCACTGGATACACTCACTGGAGGACCGTGACCTTGTCACAGTCTGTGATAAGCCTGGAGCCTCATTTCTAGGGATCAGCCTGGAGTTTCATACCCTTAAACTGTCCAGTGCTTGCAAAAGCACTATCTTGCCTCTTTGGGAATAGCCTCCCAAGCTATGGCTTAAATGAAAAGTTCATGTGTTAGAACTTTAATGCTCAGTGCATGGTATTGAGAGGTAGTGAGGCCTTTAAGAGACATCAAGAAAGATTAATGTTTTTCTCAAGGGAGTGGATCAGTTACAGCAAGAGTGGGCTGCTAAAAATATAAAGCAAGACTTGTTTTTTTTAATCTTTTCTTTCTTTCCTTTCTTTTTCGTTCATTCGTTCCTTCCTTCCTTCCTTCCTTCCTTCCTTCCTTTCCTTCCTTCCTTTCCTTCCTTCCTTCCTTCCTTCCCTTCCTTCCTTCCTTTCTCTTTCTTTCTTTCTTTCTTTCTTCCCTTCCTTCTTTCCTTCCTTCCTTCCTTCCTTCCTTCCTTCCTTCCTTCCTTCCTTCCCTTCCCTTCCCTTCTCTTCCCTTCCTTCCTTCCTTCCTTCCTTCCTTCCTTCCTTCCTTCCTTCCTTCCTTCCTTCCTTCCTTCCTTCCTTCCTTCCTTCCTTCCTTCCTTCCTCCCTTCCTCTATGTGTGGGCTGGTACTGGGCCTTGAACCTGGGGTCTGGGTACTGTCCCTAGGCTTTTGTACTCAGGTTGCTGCTCTACTACTTGACCTACTTCTGGCTTTTTGGTGGTTAATTGGAGATGAGAGTCTCACAGACTATTCTGCCTAAGCTGGCTTTGAACCCCAATTCTCGGATTTCAGCCTCCTGAGTAGTCAGGATTACAAGCCCCTGGCACCTAGCAACTGCTTCTGTTCTATTATGAAACACCTTGAGGCCCTCACCAGACCCCTGAACTTGGGACTTCCTGGCCTCTAGTAACAGTGAGACTTAATAAACTTCTTTCCTTATAAAATTACCCCATCTCAGGCACTGGACCGTCTTATGCGTTGTCCAAGTGGTGAAGAACACCAGCAGTGACCTTCCTGCTGATCACGGAGGGGAAGGGGTGGGAGAAGGAGCACTATTAGGAATGAATAGCACTATTAGGATGGAGTTCTGAGCACCCACCAATAGAGGCAGGCGGTGGCCTGGCTGTTGGTCTCTTTTCAGGCTTGCCAGCAGCACATGGAAGTCTCCCACCACAACCCTCCCCATTTTTCCTTGTGCCCTTTGCATACTTTATCAGCAGCGGTGAGGCGGGTCCACGGCTTGTCTGCCCTGCGGTCATAGTCCTGAGCATCGGCCACCTCCACGTAGTCACTGAAACGGATGAGGATCTTCCTTTCCCGAAGTTCTTCCACTGTGGGCCTTTGACTGAGCTGCACAGAGGGATGAGAGAAGAGTCAATCAAAGCAGTTTCACCCATAAGGTCTGTTCATGAAATTGTAGGCATTGGAAAACAAGCTCCAGAAGGGCAACAGGCATGGCACGTGGCAAAGGCAGAGCAGGGGTCTGGTGTGGGGCAGATCCTGGGTTCCCAACTTCTGAAGCTACTTCTGACCTATGATGATACAACACGTTTCAACCAATGTTATTTTAAAACAAAAATTTCCCCATGTTTAATGCTATATAAAATAAGCAAGTATGTCCAGCTTGTTTTCTGGGGTTTTTTTTTTTTTTTTTTTTGGTGCCAGTCCCAGAGCCTGGGCACTGTCCCTGAGCTATTTTGCTCAAGGCTAGCCCTCTACCATTTGAGCCACAGCTCCACTTCTGGCCTTTCGGTGCTTAAGTAAAGATAAAAGAGTCTCATGGACTTTCCTGACAGGTTGGCTTCAAACCATGATCCTCAGATCTTAACCTCTTCTGTAGCTAGGATTACAGCTGCCAGCTTCCCCTGGCTATGTTTTTTTAAATTGTCACACAGCTGCTTGGTGGTGGGTACTGGGACAGACAGAAGCAGGCCTGCAATGCTGCTTGGCCAGTGGTGGGAAGCTGTGGCGATGTCCACTGGAGACCTCCTATGTGGCGCTGTCCTGCCTGAGGTAGCCATGGCATCAGTGATAGACCTTTACGGGAAGTCACAGGCTATATGTCTGGTGTTGCTGGAAACAAGAATAGCGGCCATCCGGGCACCAAAAAATTCCTCTCAAAAATGTTGCACCCAAGGAGGATTTGTACTATAATTAAACTATATTAAAAGCATTTAATATTTGCCATTTGAACCTTAGATAGAATAGAGTCTTACTCACAATCTCCTTTGTGTTCCTAGCTGGATTTACCCTCAATGCATTGGACAAGCAATATTCCTTTCTGTATGTGCTGACTCCAGGAAGTTTGTTAAGTCCTGACATTTGAGTTTATCTTTCTGGGAATCATGTCCTGGATTTAACGTACAGCCTGTCTCTCAGTGGCAGCGTCTGGAGGGAGTGGAGATTTAGTGTGAGCTCTGAAAGACAGAGACTATTTGTCATGCCTGGATCCTGCCAGGTATTTCAAACCAAGAAGGTACTGTACTCAAGTGTCGGGGGTAGTGAGTGAGAACAAAGCTGACTCTCTCTGGGGTCTCAGGTGGAATGTGAACCCCAACACTAACAAGCAGTCACTAGGAGTCTCCTCCATGAGTGTGGGTAAGCCTGGGATCAGCCCCCAGCCATGTGAAGCTACATCAGCCCTTAGGAAGGAAATCATCTTTGTTTGGTTATCTATCCATCTGTCTGTCTATTGATGGTATTGGGATTTGAACTCAGGGCAGCAAATAATCTTTGTTCAGTACTTGCTTGGTGGTACTGGAGTTTGAACTAAGGGTCTCATGCTTGCTAGACAAGTGTTACCAATTGGGCTATGCAATTTTCACCCTTGGGAAATAATTTTTGTGGCCAGCGTTGGGTTTTCTGGAGATGAGACTGAAGAAGGGGTAAAGGAAAAGGACTTGTAGCATTTGTATTAGTGTATAGTAGCAATAATATCATGTGTAACAAAAATATTTAAAAAAAAGCAAGTTAATTGAGTCCCAAATTTTACTAGTAATACAACCCTGACCAAGTTCATTTCTTTCCTTCCCTCCCTTCCTTCCTTCCTTCCTTCCTTCCTTCCTTCCTTCCTTCCTTCCTTCCTTCCTTCCTTCCTTCCTTCTTCTCTTCTCTTTTTCTTCCCTTCCTCCCTTCTCCTCTCCTGTCTTCTCTCCTCTCCTCTCCGCCCCTCTCCTCTCCTCTTCTTCTCCTTCTCCTTCTCCTTTTCCTTCTCCTTTCACTCTTTCATGGTACATACTCTAGTGTTGAGCTACATTTTCATTTCTTTGGAAAGAGGTGAAGGGCTGGAAGCTTTTTAGTATAGAATTTTTAGGTTATAATCAATTTGTCAAAAGAAAATGACAGGTCAGTTGCTATCAGCATCAACTTCTGGGTTTTATTTTTCCTACTAGTACATTAGAGAACTTTGGACTAAGGATATATAAAATGAAATACAATCAGTCCTGGCATATGGACTTGGTATGATAAAGTCCAGAGAAAAGAATTTGCCCAGAGCTGGAGTATGATACAGACCTGCTGCCTCTGACAGGTACCACAGCTCTGTGGACACAAACACATGTGCAAACTGCTTCTCCATTCCCCCAGTCATTCCCTCCTAAACACTGACCCTCTTTTCCCTCATGCTCACTATTTCTTAATTTCCCAAGCCAGCACCAGGGCAGGGCAAGTGCTACAATCTCCAGATTCATTTCCCTGGGGGAGGAAGGAGAGCAGATCTGGGAGGATGCAGTTATCTTATCTGCAAAATGTAGGGGTTATTTGGGTTAGCCTTAAGGGATGTGGGAAGCAGCTCTTGGCCACTACTAAATTATATAATTATAATTAAGTTTCTCTCTGCATGAGCCTATAATATTTTTAAGAGATAAGAAGTGAATAACTGTCTAAGCAATTTTTATGGCTATCTTTTCAGCAAGCAATCTGAAAATTTGGGAGAATTTTGGAGTCCTAGCCATCCACTCTTCTGAACTTGAAGTCTTGATTTAAATATGTTTTGAATGCCTAAGCCTTTCTACATCAGAAAGGAGGAGTTTACAATAATCTCTTTTTCATATTCATTAAGGTCATGCTTAAAACAAGCCAATGCATTTCCCCCACCCTTCTCACTCTACAATGGAATAAATGCATTCCATTGTGTATCCAAAGATTAGGAAGTCTGAAGGATGGAGAAGATGAGATCTTGACAGAGGTTTGATTTAACCAATCAGAATGATTCACTGAAGTCCTAAAGCTCTCATTCTATGAGAGTAATGCCCTGACTGTTCAGTCCCTTGTTTGTCTTCCTTTAATTAATTTGGCTTTTGGTTTGTCCCTGATGTTCAGGATGCTTTTAGGGAGAGAAAGTGTTAAATATAAATCACTTTCTTAATAAGTGGTACAAAACTTTAGGACCTCTGAATTTCTTCCTTTGCATGCTATTTCTACTGAGGGGGGGAAATAACCCTACAAATAAAACTTCTTGAGATTAATTTTAATGGATCAGCATCTTTAAGATGGTCACTGTAGGAGGCTGATTGAAGATACTTTAGTCAGACAGAAGATAGTGTCATAGCTGGGTGTCATCAATTAATTAAACTTTTCAACATCATCCGAGAATAGCCTCAAGTTTTATTATTCAAGTTTATTATTCAAGAGACCACTCATGTTGCATGAGATCCCTGTGGGGATTTGCATTGCCCTATTATCTATTTGAAAGTTTAAAAATATACAAAAACTCCAGCTTTATGACTATCTATCAAAGTTGTTTTTCAAACACCTTCATTAAATTTATCTGTATTTTTTACTTTTTTTCTCATCTAATCAGTCAAACTGGATTTAGCATAATCAAATCAAATAATTTTTAAGTATTAATGAATAGTATCAGGGGAGCAAGGAAAAATCACAGATAATGGTGTTATATTTGTTTGTTTGGGGGCAGTAGTAGGGTTTGAACTTAAGACCTCATACTTGCTAGGCAGTGGATCTACCATTTGAGTCATTTAAACAGTGCCCTCACTTTGTTATACTTGTACTACTATTTATTATAATTTTAATTACTTTTTGCCTTTTGGAGATAAGATGTCACTATTTGCTCAGGTTGTCCTGGAACTCTTGATTCTGCTACCTTGACCTCCCAAGAGCTGGGATTACAGGTACAAACTAATATGCCTGGCTGAACTAATTTTTATCACAAATTTCTGGTGGTCTGATGTGGTGATAGCGGGTGTGTGTGTGTGTGTGTGTGTGTGTGTGTGTGTGTGTGTGTGTGTGTGTGTGTGTGTGTGTGTGTGTGTGTGTGTGTGTGTGTGTGTGTGTGTGTGTGTGTGTGTGTGTGTGTGTGTGTGTGTGTGTGTGTGTGTGTGTGTGTGTGTGTGTGTGTGTGTGTGTGTGTGTGTGTGTGTGTCTGCTATTGAACTCAAGGCTTCTTATATTCTAAGCATATCCTCTACCACTGAGCCATATCCCCATCTCCTGTAAATGAATTTTATTGTATTTTTTTGTGTCAGTCTTGGGGCTGTCTCAGAATGTCTTTGGCTCAAAGTTATCACAGCACCATTTCCAGCCTTTTCTGAGTAGTTTATTGGATGTAAGAATCTCAGGGACTTTCCTTCCCAGGCTGGCTTTCAACCACAATCCTTACATCTCAGCCTCCTGAGTAGCTAGGACTACAGGCGTGGCCACCAGTGTCTGACTCTATAATTACTTTTTAAAAACAAAGTATCTACGGTGATTGAAAGTATAATGCAGTGGCCATTTCGGTGATAAATGGTGGGCTGCAGCTAGCCATGAGTGATGGGGAGAGGCAAAGAGAACCTAAAATGGAGATCTCTAAGGGAAGTACTGTGATTAAGACTTCCTAACTCACAGGTACCCTCAGTCTTGCAGACTGGACCTAGGGATAAGAATGTAGTCTCAGCCCATTTCTGTGATCACTCAAACCCCATTAGGCTAGTGTTATTCTCACTGTAAAGACAACCTATTTTGAGTCTACTTGTAGTAGGTACTTAAAATGTACTTATAACAGGTACCAAAACTCTTTGAACTGTCATGAATTAGCTAACATCAGGAGAAAAGCCTGAGCCTCCATAAGCTATTTTTTTCTATAGTCACTTTGCAGTCACCTTGGGATCTAGCGAAGACAGGATTTATCGATAACATCTTTATGACCAAGGATGAAAACTACCCCTAAGGAACATGGAGCCTCTGGGATAGGTCATCCTCAAAAGAGAACATTTACCAATAATGATCAGGCTGTGACCTGGAGCCTGAGAAATCACTGCATGGGAACCAGGTTGCTTGCCACAAGTGATGACAGCGATAACTGGAATCCAGAAGAACCACAACTGAGATAATGACCTTGTCATTATCTGCACACCTTTGTCCTTGATTCTTCTTCTATTTAAGATTCATGTTGGTGCCCTGAAGTTGGCTGGCAATAAACTGAACTGCCATTGAGTGGCATGTCTATGCCACATAAACTCCTTTTTCTGCCATATTTCATTCCTAATAAACTTTCCTATTACTTTCACTGTGTTTGCATGTTGCCTTACTTCTCTGGCTGGACACAAGGACTGAGGTCGATTAGCTGTGCCAAGTTTCTTGTAAATACCTATATTGATTTTTTTTTTAGTGGGGAGGTGTTTGGTCATGGGGCTTAAATTTGGGGCCTGAGTACCATCTGTGAGCTCTTTTGCTCAAGGCTAGTGCTCTACCACTTTGAGCTATAGCTTGTTTCTGGTTTTCTGATAGTTAATTGGAGATAAGTCTCTCATGGGACTTTCCTTCCCCAGCTAGCTTAGAACCTTGATCCTCAGACCTCAGCCTCCTTGGGTAGCTAGGGCATGAGCCACCAGGGTCCAGCTATCATGAATTCTTAAAAACAAAATATCTAGGGTAATTGCAAACATAATGCAATGGACATAGGGTTGCCAAGGGTGGGTGCTGTAATTCAGTCAGGACTGATTGTCACCAGTCCAAGGGATGAAAGGTTGAAAAGCTGAGCGGACTGCCATCCCCTAGAGAACTGTGCTCTCTGACACAACAGGAAAAGGATAAACACAGGGTGTGATTGGCCAAGAGAGTCCAACGTATGCAATAGTCTACCCTCTCCTGGTACAGCTTTTGGCATGGAGAATGGGCTCACCTTTCGAGTTAGCCGCCTCTTGATCTCTCGTTTCTCCTCCTGTTCTTCTTGTTCATTCCGAGCTGAAAGAAATGTCCAAGTTTTGGATCTCAGTGCCCAAATACAGGTTCATCCTATATAAGTCTTAGCAGGTGTTAGGTCCAAGTTCCTCAGTTTGAAAAGGGGAAGAGAATCACCCTTCCCCCCACATCCTCCCTGGTCCCCTATCCCAGCCACCCTCTGCTTGGGGGAACGTGTCTAAAAATATCTGCATTAGGTCAACTTCATGATGCGCAGGTTGATCTTTTCATTTTGCTTTATGTCAAGGAGGGTCTGCAGACCCAGGTAGAGATGCTGGGTGGAGAAATGTGGTTATAAGACAAAAGGGCATGAAAGGAAGTGGTGTTAGCAGAGATGGGGGTGGGGAAATAAGGTTCCCTTCTTGGGTAAAGGCCTAGGCCTCATTCCTGTCCCAGTGAGACAGAAGGGCTCATTATGATGTGGCCCTGGTATCTGGTATGCTGTGGGGGGGAACAGATTAGATTCCACCTGCTACTGGCACAAAATGGGGCAGGGCCAGCAGCAAGGAAGGCCAATTACCTTGGGAAGAACTTCAAAATGCTCACCTTTTACAAACCCTGATTCCATTAATTCTCTGAATCTTCCAAGAAGTCCATAGAACAGGTGTGAGCTCAGGGTGAGGTATACAATTGCCTGCATTTAGACTGGGTAAGGAGTGCCTTAAGAGCAGACTTGAGCCGGAGCTTTCTTATTAAGCTTAATATGTGGGTGAGTTACTCTACAGAGTTTTAAAGAAGATGCGGGGAAGGGAGCAGAGACTTGAGGGGTAGAAAATTTGGGTTTATCTCTCCATTTAAGTGAATACCTTGGGCAGGCCATTTTCCTCTAGGCCTTGAAGGAAATTCCTAGTAACTATGGAACCATATGTACCAACTCAGTACTGTCTAACTTAAGACAAATCATGGCTGCCCACTAGTGTCATAGAAACCTGTCATTCTCATCCACTGGCTTTCCCACATATGTGTGTGAGGCTTGAACTCAGGGTCTGGATGCTGTTCCTCAACTTTCTTGCTCAAGGCCGTGTTCTTATCACTTGAACCACAGCTCAACTTTTTGCTCACTAATGGGAAATAATTGTCCCAAGAACTTTCCTGTCCAGGCTGGCTTTGAGCCATAATCCATAAATCTCTGCCTCCTAGGTAGATAGAACTAAGGACATGAACCACCAGTGACCAGCTCACAAGTTGATTTTGATCCAGCGTGCATTAAAGATTGCCTTCTTTTCTCATTTTGCAACCACAGTGGTTGAAAGCTACATTTTGACAACCTAGAGTGTTGGTGCAAGCTTGCAATTTGATTCTGGCCTCTGTCTCACTTACAAAAGAGGTCTTTAACAGAGGGAAGAAGGAAGAGGGAAATTCTTGTACTTAGAAACAGGTATAGGGACTATCTGATGAAGGTCCCTGTTTGGCCATTGAGGGAAGGCAGCAAGTACAACCACAGCCAATTCTAGGTGGAATCATGCTCAGGACTTGCTAACACTGCCCCCTTCTCCCCACACTCCCTACTGCTTATGAGGTGAAGGACCTTGAATAGGATCAGAGTCTTTTTATAGGGGAACAGGAGCTATATGAGAGTCTATATTATGTTCTGGGATAGATCACCAGAGGACTCCAGAGGGCTCAAACCTTCCTCCAGGAGCCATCTTTCCTATGGATTTAACTATTCTGGCTCTCTCCCAGAATTGTCTTTAAAAAAAAATTTCCTTAGATAAAATGAAAACTCATTAAACTCAGCCATCAATAGCTTAGTATGAATTAACTCATCAGAGATAAAACTGGGAGGCAGATAGCCAGATTCAGAAAAAGAGAGAAACCAAGAATGACATTTACAAATATGCAAATTTCCCTGGGATAAATTAATCTATGAAACTAGGCAGCCTCTAATATCTTAGTTAGGAAACCAATCTGTCAGCATTTGGAGGGAGAGAGCAGGAAGAAGAAAATGCTACACTTGCAGCTAGGAGAAAGGCTGGAAAAGTAAAATGATAGCATAGCCTTGAGGTGGCTAGAGAGGGCTTGGGTTAAAACTTTGAGCTAGGCTGGGTTTTCATCCTTGCTTTACAAATGAAGAGAAAGCCCCCAGGGGGTTAAGTGACTAGCCCTGGGCCCCTCTCCCTCATCCCCACTGCTAATGAGTTAGATAAATAGTTCAGACCTCTGTCTTTTCCTGCAGTTGCATATTGCTTGGGGCTGGCTTTTCTTCTCTGTACTGGGGACTGGACTCACTCTGGCCTGGTAGGCCCCTTCTGAGCCATGGAAGTGGGCATTCTGTGTCAGAAGTGACAGGGCATGGAGCTTCATCTCCTCCATGGTTTCTTAGTCTCTCTTAGAGGTGGGGCCACATGCTACCAATCTACAGAATCGGTACCTTTAGTTCAAAGTCATTTACAAACCCAGTGTCATGAACTCTCAGGTAGAAGGTGCCAAAACAACCCCATTAGGCAACTGGAAAAAGGGACCAGGAAAGACCCATGATGTCATCATTACAGAGGCCACTGTCAGAGTGTGTTCATTATGTGCTCAATGTGCACAGGGCCAGCCAGGGTGGGGCTGGAGGACAAACCCACCCTTCCCTTCAGCCAGGAGGTCCCTGAACTTTTCCTTTAGTGATTTAAAGCCCAGGAAATTGTTGGAGGATATTTTTGTATATGACTGGACATTTCTTGTTTAGCAAAGTAGATTAGTTAAAAGTCACTTTAGAAAAAACAAAGTTCGAGAATGCAGGGGAAAAACAAGTTCCTCTCTGAAAACTTTACAAATTGGGAAATGATGAACTTGTTTGAATTTGATCAAGTATCTCTTTGATACGTAGCTATGTGACCAAAACCAAAAGAGGGAATGGAAGAGAAGAAAAGCCATGGGAGCCATTGTAGGAAGCCCTTCCTGCTTTGGTCCCATGGGCTGACTAGAATCATGTAGCCGTAGACACCCAATACCAATGGTCTGAGGTCATCTTCTCCCAGGAAGTGGAGAAACTGAAGGTGGGAACAGAGCTAATGCCCTTGGAGAGCCAAATGTGAGCTCAGGGATTTCAAACCTTTTCTTTCCTTAATTAAACCTTGCCTCTTCTGAGATAAGTATCATTTTGAGAAACCTAAATCATCTGTGGAGGTTTGCAGCCTCTTTGAGCTCAGATATTAGATCTGAGGTCCCAAATCCAGTGGGATCTGGACCTAGTAAGTTGTATAGAGATGCCCTAAATAAAGGCAGATCCAAATAAGCTTTTGGAGCCAACAGAAGAGAGGAGGAAACATGGCAATTTGATTCCTGATTAAGAATCATGGATTAGGGCTTTTCTTTCCTTCCAGCAATGAATCTTTATAAATTGAGACACAAAGGGAGACAAATGCATCCCTAATCATGATGATCTCTGACAAAGTTTCTAATGCCATTGTTCAGCAGAGGAAGCGCAGTGCTTTCACTGGTTCAAAAAGTTATACCCAAATTCCTAGAGACCTAGGAGCCATTTGAGGTGCCCTAGAGACAGAGGAAGGAAGGCTGAAGACAGGCCTACACCTAGCCTGGGATGGGGGCGGGGGTCTGTTGCCATGGAGAAGGGAGACAGGATGCTGAGTCCAGCCAATGCAAAGCAGATGGGCTGCTTGCAGGGACTGCACATGCCAAGCCTCTGTAAAAGCCTTCTCAGGCAAAGTCAACACCAACCCCCAGCAAATCATGCAGCACTGACCAAATCACAAGGCCATTAGGAGGACAGGTAGAAAACTGCTCACAAGGACATTTCAGATTTGTTATGTGAGAACACTCAGCTTCCCAGAGCCAGGTCTTGTGTGACTGACTGGTGTGTGTGTGTGTGTGTGTGTGTGTGTGTGTAAGTATGGATGGATGGATGTGTCCTACAAACTGCATAATATATATTTCTCTTCTGGAGAGAAATTGGAAGGGTGTTTGCAGGCTGGGAGAGAAAGGGTCATGGATTAAATGAAAAATGGTATTTTTTGGTCAGTTGAGGCAAGTGAAAGGTAGTATTGATTCATTATATAGGAACAGAGTGATTCAATTTTTTAAAAAAAAATTTGATATCTACTACCAAATCAAGTCATGAAATAAGTGACTTAGTATTTTGTATTGTTTTTATTTTTTATTTATTTTTTAGGTATCAAATGGTTCCTCTGTCCAGATTTTATTGTTAAACCAGACTCTGTCTTGTTCTTTCCATAAACTAGGAACAGCCGGTTTTTCCTGTCTTACAGGCATGCCACTGGCCAGTTGAATCCAGACAGACAGGAAACATTTTTACTTGGAAAGCCCTTCCCCCCTCTCCCCACACTTTCCACTGTAAAATTAATGTTGACAAAAGCTGAGGATTTTTTTTTTCCTGGCAGGTGCTGATCCTGGGACTTGATCTCAGGGCCTGAGTACTGTCCCTGAGCATTTTTGCTCACTGCTAATGCTCTACCAGTAGTCACAACTCCTCTTTTGGCTTTTTGGAGATATGAGTCTCATGGGTTTTGGACTTTTCTGCCCAGGCTGGCTTCAAACTGAATGATGATCCTCAAATCATTCCGATCACTCAAGAGGATCCTCTGAACCATGATCTTCCAGATTATTCAAGGGGATCTCAGCCTCCTGAGTAGCCAGGATGACAGGTGTGAACCACTAGCCCTGGGCTAAGGCTGAGCAATTTTTATCAACAGCAGTTAGCTGCCACGGAAAGCGTGTTTGCTGGAATCCATTCTCAAGTGGCGATTTCCCCATACACCAGTTTTTAAGCCAATTTGGTTTAAAGGTGACTAATTCTCAAAAACACTTACTAGTATGTTTTCTCAGTCTGTTGTGTTTTTTTTTCAGTCTCTCTCTGTCTGCAATTCAGAAGGTTCTGAGTGCAGTCCACAGACTTCTTACCAATAAAGGAGAAGCAGGAGGACTCCAACTTGCCTTCTCTGTGCAGAGGCCCCTCTGCTTCTGACCCACAGGGATGAACCTCAAGGAGGGAGGGCTTTGCAATCCCCTCTCCCATGACCTTCACGGTAGAGGCCCCATTCAACAAATACTAAAGTCACCCTAGAGAGCTCCCAGGGTGCCCTGGGCTTGACTTACGTTTCAGGATGTTCCTCTGCTCCAACTCTTCAGCAGTTGGCCTCTGGCTCAGCCGCCTACGAAAAAAATCCAGGAAAAGTTTTTGGACCATATCATATCCTCCTCTGGTGGTTAAGCTCTTCGGCTCTTGTAGACGCAAGGGGTAGAGTCAGTGGCCAGAGCTCTTGTTCCATCCTGAGCTCCAAAAGACTGATGACTCCAACGCCTTCTCAGTTCCCCAATCTCAACCCAGGAAGGGCACTGTACGTCACTTCATGCAGAACTGCCCCACTGCCTTCCTCCCTCCACTCTGCCCCTCCCCAGCCCTGCTTCTCCAGGGCCCCAGGCCAGGGGACTGAAACTTAGTTGGATTCTCCTCTTCACAGAAGTCTCTTTCTTTCCTGATGGCCTCTTAACTAGCAGGCCTGTGGCCTCTTGCCTTTTTCCCTTGCCTTAAGGCTAGAGCTTGCTTCTTGCCACATTTGTGCACTTAGAACTTAGAGGCTCAAGGCCCGTGCGAGAGACAAAAGAGAGCAAGTCCTGTCTGCGTAGAACAATGGCTCCTCTTCTTCTTGTTCCCATCCATCATTACCAGATCCTTTTTAGACATGGAATGACAAATGAACAGGGAGAGAAAGGCCACTCCTGTTCCTGGGTGCATAACTCAGCCACAGCAAGTGAGGTCTCATCGCCAGGGTATGAGTGTGTGGGGACACAAAAGGGAGAGGTGGGAGGCAGGAGGCAGGTAGTGACAGAACTAGGTAGGAAGGAAATGGAGTGGCATCCTAGAGGAGAACTACAAAGTACAGTGGCAACGAGTTCTGGAAACAACAACATTCAGAGAACTGCATTATAGCAGTGTATTATGTGACTGCTCAGGCAGTGAAAAGCAAGACCATCTAGAATCACTGAAGACAGATAGCTCTCCTTTGCTTCATTAGCCTTGCAGCATGGGCTGCTCCCATCATGTATCTGACACCATGACAATGAAAGAAAAACCCTATAGAAGGACAGAAGTAGGGACTTAACTCTATTCTGGAAAGAAATCCTGATCCATTCCTAGCATTCCTCACCTTAAGCTCATGAATAACCTTACTGTCCATCAAAGTTTTCCCATAAAATGTGACTCTTGTTGTTTGAATTCAAGGCTTCATATTGGTGGGCTTGCTTGTTTGTGTGGCCAGTGATCTACCATTTGAGCTATGCCTCTAATCAGCTCAGGTGCTGGTGGTTATTTCGGAGACAGAGGCTCATGCAATTTTCTGCCTAGGTTGGCTTTGAACCACCATCTTTCAGATCTCAACCTTCTGAGGAGCTAGGATTATAGGCATGAACTACCAGCATGGCATGACTGTGATTTGCAAAGTCCCAATCTCTGTTGAGTATGTACTTTCTCTCTGTAATAAAACATCCATTTTCTTCTTTTGTCATACCTCTAAATTCTTTGATGGCAACAAGAAGCTAGCAACACTGAGTGGAAGTCTCCCTCTGGCCTGTTTATGAGACCTCCCAGCCTTTACCCCACAACATCATAGAATGAGACAAAGCTGTCAGAATCAAAATAGAATCACTTCCGTCAATCCCTAACAGTAGTAAGTCAATGAGGAAGGCCAAGATTTTATAATGGAGACTTTGCTAGAACCACAGTCTTGCACAAAGGCCATGGTAGCTTTACACACTTACACACACACACGTGCACATCCGGATTTGATTTCCTTTATAACAAACCAGTAAATATGTCATTTTTTTTTTTAGCTCTGTGGACCATCGTAACAAATTACTTAACTTGATCAAATTAATTAAACCCAAGGAGAAGTTCTTGGGAGCCTCAGATTTACAGCCAGTTAGAGATTATGATTTCCTACTACTGGTGGCTGGCATGAGACAGAGGAGCAGCGTTGCGGGGCTGACTGAGCGCATACCTGTGGGATATGACAGTATCAGAACAGAACTGAATTATCATTTGTTAAATTGGGCATGTGTGGAGAAACCTGCTTATCTGGCCACAGGAGTGTGCCATGTTGGGTGTGACTGTAGATAGAAAACTCTTCTTTCCCAATCCCATGAACACATTCTTCATTGCCACTGACACCCTGAGGAGGGCCTTTGCTAGCTATGTGTAGAAAGTCGTAATATGGCTGGCATTCTCACACTGCAGGAGGAAAGTGGATCTAGCTGAGCAAGTTGGTGTCATGGGTCTGGAATGCAATTTACTATGAAGTTCTTTCTCACCTGTCCCTTTACTCCTGTTCCTTTTGTAAGGGATGCATAGCGCTTTTGTGGAATGTTTGCTCACAGCCAGGCTTTCCATCAGTCTAGTCAGTGTTTCTTTTTTGGGGGTGAGGGGTAGGCTGTTCAGAACCAGTCCTCCAGATCCAAGAAGAGATTGCATCATGGTGGGCAGGCACCATGGTCTGGAGTTTTACATCAGGAGGGTTTGAAGGATGTTCTCTTGATGGTTTTTGTTGAGCTGAGTATCTCAATACCACACACATTGCATAGTGTGTGTTGGCCTTTTTCTTTTTTAAAAAAAAAATTAATCTCATAAATTATGTTTGGAGAATGTAAAACAATGAGTGAGTCATGACCAAGTTGCCATATAGTCTAATATGCAGGATTTCAAATGAGGCTCTCGATTTGTTTTTCATTTCTTCCAACGGGTCTGAGCACATCAAGATTAGTTAGTGTAGCTAAACCCTCCAGAGAGGCAGGTGTTGAAATTAGATGTTCTGACTTTGACAATGAGATTTCATAGGAAAATGATACACTGGCATTGTAACACAAAGTATCAAATAGCTGTGGAGTTGGGAGTTTGGGGACTGGTCCTGGGTTTTCTGGAACAACGTGCTTTGGACAAGGTAAAATCCTGTTAGTTCCATGTCTTTTTCTGAAACTAGTGAACAATCATTTAGTAAGCTAATGCTGACTTACTGTAATACAGATGTGTGACTCCAAACACTGCATGTATGTTAACTCATTAAATCTCTATCTCAAGATCCCAAACTTACTCATGGCTGCCACATCTTCCTTGCTGTGTTTAGTGATCTCTTCATGAATTTGGAGGATAGGAACATGGATATTTTAAGGGCATGGCAGTTCTTCCATAGCTACAGCCTCTTCCTAGTCAGAAGGTGCAAGCTGACATCTGGGCTTTCACTCTCTCTAGATCTGTCTGGCATACTCAGAGGACACAATGGTTTTGCTGCTGAATGCCCTTGGGTATGTGTGTACATGGCTGTGTGTGCAGCCCTAGTACTCAGTGGAATGACCCATATGGGTACATTAACATCCAACCTGCTTTCCTCCTCTCCCAGCACTCCTGACCCTCACTAGCCTTCTGAGTTTGAGGCCCCTAGACCACATCATCAAGTCCTAAGAATCTTCCTTTCCCCTCCTTTTTATGTGCTGATCCTGGGGCTTGAATTCAGGGCCTAGGTGCTATCCCTGAGATTCTTTTTCTCTACCCCTTGAGTAACGGCACCACTTCCAGGTTTTTCTGAGTAGTTTGTTAGACATAAGAGTCTCACAGACTTTCCTGCCCTGGCTGGCTTTGAACCACGATTCTTAGATCTCAGCCTCCTGAGTAGCTAGGATTATACGTGTGAGCCACCAACACCCAGCTAAGTTTTGTTTTTATAAGTTAAAAAACAAAACAAAACAAAATCCTGACATTCAAACTGTCCAAAATGGAGTAAGAGTCCTGTCAACAGCCAGACCTGGCTTAGGAAGCCTACAACTTAGTGGTGCAGAGCAGTGACTGAAATGTGCATGTGAAAACTGGGTCATGTTGGGTGCCAATAATCCTTGCTACACAAGAGCTGAGATATGAAAAAATCATGGTTCAAAGCCAGCCCAAGCAAGAAACTCTGTTGAGACTCTTATCTCCAATTAACCACCAAAAAGCTGGAAGTAGAGCTATGGTTCAAGTGGTAGAGCACTAGTCTTGAACAAAAAGAGCTCAGGGACAGCACCCAGGTCCCGAATCCAAGCCCCCTCAAAACAACAAACAAACAAACAAATTGTCTGAACCAGAGACTTCCAAGGAGCTGAAAAATATCCTCAAAACAATAAGTTAGGGCTGGGAAGGTGGTTCAGTGGTAGAGCGCTTGCCTTGCATGCATGAGGCCCTGGGTTCGATTCCTCAGCACCACATAAGTAAAAAGAAAAAAGCCGGAAGTGGCGCTGTGGCTCAAGTGGTAGAGCGCTAGCCTTGAGCTGAAGAGCTGAGGGACAGCGCCCAGGCCCAGAGTTCAGGCCCCACAACTGGACCCCCCCTACAAAAAAAGAAAAACCCAATGAGTAAGATGGACAAGTATCTTGGGCCAACTAGACCAACAACGGTCAGTAGCACATGGAAGGAGAGCTGGACACTGGAAAAAAAAAAGTATTCTGGTTCTATCTTGACTCAACTTCCTGAATCTCCCTTCTTGAGTCCCTGTAATTATGTCACCATTCTTCTCTATCTCATTCCTGTCAAGACTTGTTCTTAGAAGTGGGGACTATACACATTGTCCCCTATAATCACACAGAATACATTCTAAGACTCCACTAGTGGATGCCTGAAACTATAGTACATCCTGCATATAACCTGCTTTTTCCTATGCATGTATACCTACAATAAAGCTTCATGTATAAATTAGACATGGTATGAAGACAATGAAAACTGGATTGTTTAAACAGAATAACTGTAACAACGCTACAGTGATAACTATGGGAATCACCTTTCTGAAAATACCTTTATAGGACCAAGTGTAGCTAGAAATAAATAGATCAAAAACAACTTCAAAACCAAACATTTAAATCCCCACATGCACATTACACAGCTCTCTGTCAGTGCCGTGTTATCATCAGCATTTCAGTTGTTGTGCAATCTGTTGAGATCTTTTTCCTGCCCTGGGTTTGGTGAAAACATGCCTCCCTGAAAGCAAATGGTGCTCAAAAAGCAAGGTCAGAGGGCGTGGCTAAAGTGAACCTTGAGAGGTACTACTGAAAGGCAGCCCATCTGTAGCAGAAATTGAACAGTATAATGGGAAAAATGAATCAACTGTCCACAAAACAATACTGAACGCTAGGCATC